GTCTTAACTATTACAATATCATTTTTATTATCATGATGGTTAATTGATGTTATGAGTATATTTATTATCAAAATTAATATCACCATTATCATAAGTATTGTTCTCATTAATTGTAATCATTCATATTTTCATCAATAATATGATTATTCTTATGATTACCTTTTTCGTTACTGTTATTAATCTATCATATCATTAACATCAATTTATTATTTTATTATCTTTGACCATTATGTAGAACTACCCCGAGTATTTCTATGGTTTATGAAAGGGAAAGCCTTCAAGTAACAATTTTTTTTGTGTGTGTAACATCAGACTAAAAACCAGTTGACTTTAGGAAAAGAGTTAAACCAGTGGCGCAATATCACCTGCCTTGTTACAGGTATGCACCACAACAACGAAGGCGGCTTCTCGCTCGTTTCCCTCTAGAGTAATTGAAAGTTTTTAGTTTTGTTCCTTCTATGAGCGACCTAACTCTTCAGCTGCTTGTGTCATTTCAGTCGCTTTATAAATAGCATCTCTCTCAGAAACAACACAAGATTGGCAGGACAGTTCTTGCATGATTTTCCACTTGAAATTCACATAGTTCAGTCCTAATTTCCCATTGCCGAAAGGTGCTGCGCGCGCGCGTTGTGTGTGTTTAACATAGATATACTTAGAATATATAAAAATTATATATAATATATATATATATAATAAATAATAATAATAATGCCCACATACACACACACACACACATTGAATCTGATACCCAAGGCCTGAATTACCCATACCAGAAAATCAAGTCGTCTCCCTATGGCATATAGCAAGAAAAATGCTCACAAACCCTGGTTTATGGGCACATATAGAAAATAACGAAATACCAATTAATGGAATGGTATCTCATCCAGCAGTTCACCGAAACAAATTACGAATTAATGTGCATTAGAACATCCCAACACAAACTTCTTTTGATCTCTCAGTAATATTTTATTTAGTTAGCTAGCTACGATATCAGATCTCTCTCTTCATTTCTGGAAAATCTAGCTTCTCCACTTTCCTTGTAACACCGACAGGGCCTCATTTATGACAGACTTCAATCTCCATACTTCACCTTATGAAGTTTCGTAAATCACCAGGCTTTGAAAATGTGAAAGCACTCAAACACACACACATAATCATGCACCGATAGGACAGATAGGTAATAGATAGAGAGAGAATGAGAGGGATGATTTACGTTGTAATTAACTATTTTACAATTTATACAGTTCTTTATCAAAAGAAAAATCTGTGCCTGTGTGTTTTCGAGACCGGGTTTTTTGACAGCGCCGTGAGACTCCATTCCTTGACAAACGCCAGTGAAAAAATCTTTCGCTTTGTGTTGCGTCACTTTTAGGTCATTCATAGAACGACAGAGTGGCTGTGAAGAACAGAAACCATCTGAGCCCATTAAGTAAACTGAATGTCGAAAACGTGACTGCAGACCAAACATTGCAGAAATCGATTGAACTTAACCCTTGCCACCGGGGAAAATGACAAAAACTGGTGAAAATGCTGTGTCCTATTTTCTATACTTTTTGGTTTTTTTTTTGTTAAAAAATGTCTGCCCATAGATTGGCTCTGTAGCGCCGATTTGAAATGGCGGGAAAAAAACATATTTTTCACTAGTTGCCATGGATATCAATGTTGTTTTATCATAAACCTATTTTTATAATGTTTTTTTTAGCTTTAGTAACAGCACAATAAATAACGTAAAATATTCGTAAATCAAGAAAAGGGTGAACGGGCGACACAGGCGGTACTCGAACTGGCGCATTGGTGTGTTAGTAAACAAGGTGTAGCTCATCTATGTGTGAAAACAATCTAACAGTAATCTTCACATTGGCCATGGCATGGAATGCCTGGCGGGAATGGGTTAAGAACTATATTTTTTTGGATGAGGATCCCGGGGCAGGTTCCCTCTGTCTGCACGACCATAGGGAATTATATGCTAATGGCAGATTGTATAAGTACTAGACGTTTTGTCTAAAGACCAGGGCGTCTTTTACCGAAAGATTGGAGGGGTGAAAGTAGTTTTCCAAAAGTTGACGCGTCGGCCCATAGTTTAGTTTAGTTTATTTACCACCTTACTGCACAGGGGTGAGCGAGCTGTGGCACATTTGATGCATGGTCAAAGCATTATTATAATGGTATTACATCTGAATTTTAAGCTATACCATTGCTATGATAAGTACTATATCAGTTAAAGGGAAGGAAACAATTACACAGTCCTTTATCTACTCATCTGCCATTCCGGCGTACAGCTTGATATGCGGTCATGTGATCCTACATTTCAAATTGAGGATACAGCATAAGTATTTTTCTAAGACCTCAGATGGTATGAAATAGTTACATAGTTCTCCGTACCTCATACTAGGTGGTCTGAAAGGCATATAGCACTCTGAGATATAATGTACAAGTATTCTTTATTACATAGTTTACACCTAGTTTCTTCGACATTACAAACTTTACTGACTTGCCACTACAATCTACATCCAAGCCTGATTCTTGCGGTCACAGTATCACTGTCTTGTTCATGTTTTAAACCATTGATGAATAAATCTTTTCAAAGGCGGCAAGTACATCCGTAGGATTTCACATGCCGATTTAAAACGTTTTCTAAGATGTCTATTATGCATCTTTGTTCTAGATCCATTCGATTTCAGCATGTTTTACAATTTCCCTGATATACTTCATACCCTCCTCTGCTATTAGATATACTCACGATTAATTTGCAAAAGGTTCAATCGATTTTTCCTGGGAAAAAAAATTTAAACCGAGCTACTAACCTGTTATCCACACTGACGCGAATATTAAAGTTCATTAATTTATTTGCTATATATATGTCGGAAAATTGGATATATTGCACCCTCCATCCACACAATATAGTAATCAAATTTATGAAAAATATAAACCCTATGAACTAAGTTATGCGATGAATATATATATATATATATATATATATATATATATATATATATATATATATGTGTGTGTGTGTGTGTGTGTGTGTGTGTGTGTTAAATTCCTAATTCTCGACTTTATTCACTGAAATGAACGAAATAATATTTTAATATTGTAATATTTTATTTCCCAAAATAACAGTTCTTTCTTCAAGGAAGCTGCATGCTTATTGCTACTTTCCTTTTGATATATGTACTGTCACAGGATGCATAGCATCTGACGATACAATATGAAAAGTAACAAAAAATTCTTACAATAGAGAGTTTAGAAAGGCAAAAGTAAACAGTGTTCGAAGCGCTCGATCGCAGTGTCGAAAAATGCTTCGATCCCGAATCCTTGCTTCAGAAGCAGGGATGGCGTCGATTCATAAAATGTAGTTGAAATTTTAGAATTGTATGGATGATAGCATATCTATTTGTGTATTATATCATGAAAACTGACACGCATACTAAGGTAAAGACGTAAATTTCCCATATCCTACGATTTAAAATAAAGCAGCCGATGGGACATGGGAAAGATAATCATTCATGGATACATTTTCTTTCTCTTGAAGATCCAAATCGTCTCACTCCATGATGGCCTTGCACGCCCAGGTTTTGAATGTGGGCATGTACGCGGTGATATTGGCACTGTTCTTGCTCCATGTGGATGGAAACTCGTTCATGGCCAGCCAGTTGATGGTATGCATTCCAGGGGAGGTCTCATCCTTTCCGTTGGTCACTTCGACCGTTTGTGCCATGCGGTGCCATCAACTCCATGGAGTGGGCTACATTTATAAGGGTGAGTAGTGCAGACTATGTTATTTTCACTTTTTTTTTCTCCCTCCCATTATCTTGCACAGGCACACACATAAACATAAATAAAAAAAAACAAAAAAAAAACGAAGATAGTGTTGAAAAGTTTGAAGAACCTTATTTGTAGTGAACATTTCTTATGTTTGTGGGCAGTAATCAAAACTTATGACCATAGGCTCCATCCTTGATAAACAGATACTCGGGAAAAGTGCAGGGCATTCATAAGAGAGTCGCTGTATAAACTAGATAAACGTCGTTTAAAACTCTTTATCATTAAAAAATCCGAGTGTCCCCGTAAAATACAATTATGTCAAGTTGCTTTCCCTCAGTGATATATAAAGATAGATTTTCAGAGCTGCTGCAATTTTGCAAAGCTAAATTCTCGACGCATTACCCTTAGGTTATTCTTTTTTCTTCAGTCCCCTTCTTCAGATAAGAATCTTGACGCATAAGTTCATATTGGATCCTTTCTCAGTTTGTGAGTGGGCATTATTATGCAGACTTTGTATTTTGTGCAGAAGCAAACCTCTGTTACACTTGATTGTGTTAAAGAATGGAGAAGGAAGGGGAAAGTGATACTATCCCTTGATGCAGCATGACTGATGATCCTGCTCTTTGGCTTGTATCTTTTAACACTCATTGAAACTTTAGCCTTTTTTAGTGGCAGCCAGGTTACATCCAGGCGTCCTGTAATGCCACACGTTCTTTACACTCCACTTGTTTTTTTTGTTTTTTTTATTACATATAAGAAAGATAATGGTTTGGACTGTTAATATTATAATGATATACACCCATCATTAGTTCAACTTTTAATTAACCAAGAGGTAGTGTGTGTCGGAAATTATATCACCTTGGGAAATTCACAAGCCAAAGTTAACCTGCCTTTATAACAGCACATAATCCTTTTCGCGTCAGATGGTACCTGCGACGTATATGGGCCTAATCAAGTAGAATCCAATAGAGATGGGCGCATCTTCCACAGACTTTCTCTTCCGTCTCTGAGCTCCTTGGAAGAGATATCTCGAGGGAAACCAGCAGAAGGGTCTGTGCATTTCGAAACGTAAGTAAGGATTGCATAAGAGTGCACACGCACACATGCATGCGTCCACGTAACCACAGACGCATAAATAACGGTCGACCTCTCCTATTGTCCAAACAGCAATACCCCCGAATACGCCAATGACGACTCGAACACAACCCTCTATCACAGTGATAATGGCATTGCCCGTGCATGGTGGATGGTGGATCTGCTGCAGCAGTGGAAGGTGTACGCAGTTGAAGTCTTACCCAGATACGATTACCCACCGGGTATTGGTAGATTCCACGACATAGAGGTTTGTGAAATTAAATCGTGCTTAGACACTTGCATATCTATACATATGTTGATTATGTATTTAATAGTAATATTCTCAGACCGTCATGGAACTTTTGCATCGTTTTTCTTCCTAAGGATCTTGATTGGGTTTTTTCGATTGTCTGTCCCTTTCCTACTTACTTTGGTCTAACGAAATATGTATATTCCGTTTAAGATTCTAAATACCTTCACAGGTCAAGTGAATAAAATTAGTTGCATGAGTAGTTCAGTATAAAGTGTTAAATGCACAGTCTAATACTGGAACACAAACTGATAATTTTTATGAAGCAGTGGAAGGTATAATAAAAGATATACCATAGGTTGTACGTAAGTGTGTATTGTACTTATATGCATATATATATATGCATAGGTATTCATATATACCCATATGTATATATATACACACATACATGTACACGTGTGTGTAAATATGTATAAATATATGTGTGTACATATATATGCATATATATCTATATGCATATACTATATATATATATGTGTGTGTGTGCGTGTGTGTGTGTGTGTGTGAGTGTGTGTGTATGTTTGTGTGTGTGTGTGTGTGTGTATGTTTGTGTGTGTGTGCTTATGTGCACACACGCACACATAAATATAAATATATATATATATATATATATATATATATATATATATATATATATATATATATGTGTGTGTGTGTGTGTGTGTGTGTGTGTGTGTATGCATATATATATATACATATATATATATATATATATATATATATATATATATATATATATATGTATATGTATATATATATTTGCATAGGTATTCATATATACACATATGTATATATATACACACACACATACACGTACATGTATATGTGTGTGTAAATATGTATAAATATATGTGTGTACATATATGCATATACATCTATATGCATATACTATATTTATGTGTGTGTGTGTGTGTGTGTGTGCTTATGTGCACACACACACATATAAATATATATATATATATATATATATATATATATATATATATATATATGTGTGTGTGTGTGTGTGTGCGTGTGTGTGTGTGTGTGTGTATGTATGTGTGTGTTGTGTGTGTATGCATATATATATATATATATATATATATATATATATATATATATATATATATATAGATATATAAGTATATATATATGCATAGGTATTCATATATACACATATGTATATATATATATATATATATATATATATATATATATATATATACACACACACACACACACACACATACATGTACATGTGTATGTGTGTGTAAATTTGTATAAATATGTATTTATATGTATATATATGTATGTATATATATGTATATATACATACAGATATGTGTGTGTGTGTATACATGTATATATATATACATATATATACTGCCGCGATAGTCCCCTGGTTAGCGCACTGGACTCCGGCCCTTGTGATCCCGAGTTCAATTCCCCGTCGCGGCGGTCGTAAAAATGCCTGCGCTCTGACTGCTGGCTCGACCCCGCGAAAACGACATATCGCCTTGAGTTAAACGCAGGCGTCATCCAATCAGGCAAGGGTGACACTGCCATATAACCTCTCAATAGCTACATATATATATATATATATATATATATATATATATATATATATATATAATTATACATGTAGAGATAATATGGACAGAACTGCATATGTACATGACGTGACATGAAAGAGAAGTCGGGGTAATTAACCGGAAATGGTTATCAGAATCAGTGACTGTAACCTGAATCATTAACCATATTTAACGATGCCTTGCACACATCCCTGAATACCTTACGATCGTACATGGTGTATCATAACAGGAAGTAGGCGTAATTAATGAATACCGAAAGTGATTATCACAATCAATGACCGGAACTGGAAATCAATAACCGCCTCTAATGAGGGGTGGCTTTGTCATTGTGGGCGTTGCATGTCATCAGTTGTAATGTAAGAATTCAATTCGTCATGATACCCATTCCAGCGGACTAGATATTCTGTTTTATAGTTCCGTTCCACCACGATGATAAAATCTTGTACAGGTAAAAACCAGACAGCAATGTTGGAACGAACTCCTCACGGTAAAACAAACCTTGCACTTCTTCACCGCTCCTCCTGATAATACCCGACTCTCTCGAATTTCAAATATTTCCTCTGTATTTGTATTTAACATTGCGAAATGCGTCGGTATGAGAACGCACTGCAATGTGTCGTAAAGAGACATTGTCACTGCGTTCGTGTTTCCGCAGGTGCAGCACCATTCAAACTCGCGTGCGCACGCTCATTATATGCCGACACAGGAAAACATTGATATACCTCAGCGTATTTTTTAAGGTTAAATATTTATAGATGCATTCCTTCAGGGTTCTGATGTACCTCTCTGCAATGCTCGCTCTTATTTCTTTCGAATGTGTCGTATACCATGCATAATTAGTAAATAGTAAGCCATTCACTGTGGTATTTACAAACTCTTGCCCTGCATCAGTGAAGAGGAGAGTTAAATCTTTAGCATCCTCGGTGTTCAAAACTGATTGCAGCGCGTGCGCAGCCTTTGCCTTTTTTTTTACTCTTTAACGGTCTTACTTGCATATAACGACTAAATACATCTACACATACAAGCAAATAGGCAGTTTATTGTTTTGTTTTGACAAGTTTCGTATCTCTGCTAGGTCTCACGTTATGATTTAACAATGCGGGAATTTTTTGCAAGTATCTTTGTGAAGGGTATACACGCGTTGCGATGACAAAGCTTTTTTCACGTCTGACTGTGTAACATTATCTTTGCCCAACTGCGTGTGAACGGCATCTAACAGCTCTTGTAGGCAGAGCCGGATTATGACCTTTTGGGGCCCCTAGGCTAATGAAATTATGGGGCCCTCTCAAAATATTTTTTACTTGTGATATATTTTAGCGACATTTACGCCCTCACTTTTGCCATATATCTATCTGCCTAAGCGTTCAATATGTCCGAGGTCTCTCTGCTTTTGTAACATGAAATGAGAAGCGTTTAGTGAAATGTTGCGGCTGTACTTCCCATTCATAAACACACAGGCAGTACAATTGATATGTTTTCGTGTCATTGCAATGTCATTATCAGCCGCCTTTATAAAGCAATCACCCAATATGTATAATATGCGGTCACTCGGTTTCGTCTTGTGTTCGGCAGGGTCTATAATGCCTTTATTAAGATCAAGTTTGTCAAATAAAGAGGCTTACTTCGCTCCCGCATACAATTATATAATCAAACTGTTTGTGATAATGTATAAAACTTTTCAGTGATGATATGTCTTTCCCAAATTGGTGACCCCTGCAATTATTATTCTTGCAGGGTGAGCAAATAGATTGAGCTGGTTTCCTTAAAGCAGGATTACGGTGCAGTGTGTGACATGGTGAAGGACCCAATGAAAATGACGCTTAGATTTTAGACACAACCTCTTATATTGACTACTATACAGAGAAAATATGTACATATAATATTTACTGACAAACATATTAAACAAACTATCCTCCTGTGCTTCCTCGATGATGAAAGGGTTTCCAGTTCGTGCACTTTCGATGTTTTGGCTTGCCAGATCGGGTCGTCGTCGTTGTT